TGCGATTACGCTTTAGTGTTCCTGCTCCTGAAAGCTGCCGTGACCCTCTGGGGTGAGTGTGCTTTACAGAAATTGTATGTAATTCTACTTAAATTAATGGGTGAGTTTCACAAACAAATTGTTTTGTGTTTACCAGGTGTCAGTGGTCAGGATACAGTCTCCCAGTCGCCACTCTCTGTGACTGTTGGGGAGAAGGAAGAAGTAATTATCAGCTGTTTCACAACACAATCGCGGGCATTACAATGGTACAGACAGTATCCGAACCAGGCCCTCAAACACTTGGTAAGAGGACAGTCGGGAGAGCCGCAGAAGGAGAGGATCACAGCTACAATGAACTATAGAGAGAAGGGCAGTAATCTGAGCATCACAGGCACAGAAGTGACAGACGCCGCCACCTACTTGTGTGCAGTGGAGACACAGTGAGACAATCACATGGAGAGGCCGTACACAAACCTCCAGTGATCAGCCGGCAATTCCCCTCTTGTTCATCACAGTAACTGCTCAGCACTCACTGCCTCTTAGTTTCTGCCTCTTAACTTCGGGGTAAATTTGCCGCCACACTGCGCCCAACAAACATCGAACCAATTCATATTACGTGATATCGTGTGAGGCGATTTGAGACGCCTCGATCACGTAATCAGGTTATATATTGAATGGAATGAGTATCATTATGATTACTATATATACTGTGAAGCGCATCGACACATCTCGAATGCATGATTATGTGCTATATTGAAGGCAAGGATTATTATTATAAAACAGAAATGTTTACATATTGCAGCTTCTGGAGAGACCAGTATGTTATTCATGCAACGAGACAGATGGCATACCAATTCTGGATATTAACAATAAAATTTTTTTTTAAGTACTTAAATCAGATTCAGGGTCTTGTTCCTTCCAATAATAATAAATAATCATTGCATTCGATATAGCGCTTTTCCCGTCTTCTGAACTTCTCAAAGCGCTTCACAGATTATACAGTAACATGAATTGACCGTATATTTGTAAGCCAAACGCGGCAGCCAATTGCGCACAGCAGTGTCCCACAAACAGTCGTTGATTGAAATGATCTATTTATTATTGTTTTGGAGGGAATATTATAAGGCGTATGCAGTAAGGAAACATGCCCAAGACCCTTGACGGTCTTTGCCTAGGGATCTGCGACGATATTGAATCAGGATATGTCCTTCCAAGAAGAAAGCAAGTTGCTTTCCACAGGCACATTGACATGCTCAGATGGCACAGAGATGTGGAACTCATGCGATTGTTTTAGATGAACTGAAATATGTGTGTAACTTGCTGCAGGTGTCAGACACCCGCCTGAACGAAGACATGTCAGTCATGGAAGAGAACCAATGGAGGAACGAGATGGCAGAGCAGAGAAGATGACGTGCAATGACACAGACACAACGTTGGTAGATAACCCTCAGACCTGCTCCCTCACAGCATATGGTAACTTCTGTACGTTGTTTCCTGTTCAGCCCTCCTCACCGTATCTTATAGACTCCCAGGAACCATTCTCCAACTACACCATCAACGCTCTCTCAACGCCCCGCGCCGTTAAGTACATACGGCGATGTATATCTATGTTGTAGCAGTGATCATTACCTTGTCAGGTAAGCGATAAACTCGCTCTATCATTCTGGTTCCTGACCGTATTATCCAATGCATATGTTTTATTGCACAAATATAACAAACAGTTGAAATGAACCGTAAATTTCTGTACCTTACTGGACAGCGAATCGGCCTCGCAAGTGAGAGGAACTGTTATCAGTTCCCCATTGAGACACAGTGAAACCTTTGGCAAGTTTCCTTACTCTACGCACATGTAACTCTTTACCAATTAGTAAGTAAGTGCCTTTTTTTAGCCGATCGATGGATCGCATTTCGGGACTGATAATCTCTTAAAAAAACAATGACTAATAACAATGCGGTCACATGTTTCGCCCCCAAAATGCACAGAGACAGTATATTCTGTGAAATGTTTGGTGACAAGTTAACGACATGAAAAAGCTCTGTATCAAATATAAGAATCGCTATTATTACTGTTATCATTCTACTTCTGGTTCCCAGGACGTTGTGGAGGAGATGGTGTAACACAGCTCCGATCTGTTGTGACAGTGACTGAAGGGGAGGATTTTTCTCTCCAGTGTAATTATACAGTTGCAAACACCGGCTCTGAATATCTGTTCTGGTACCGTCACTTAACCAACAAAGCTCCAGAATATATCCTCAGAACATCCACCAAAAACAGGAACAAGGACCACGCGGACTTTGCAAAAGAACGTTTCTCAGCGAATGTGTCTAAAGCGGAGAAAACCGTCCCATTAAATATATTGCAAGTGAGAATTACGGACTCCGCGGGGTATTACTGTGCACTGAGCTCCACAGTGGCACAGATCAGCGATTCCACCCTACAAAAACTGCCATGTGGAACCCTGTAGCTCAGTGGTTATAGCACTCGCCACACAAGGGAGAGACTTTGGTTCAATTCCCAGCAGAACGAAGCATTGTGCAACTTTCCTTATTCCACACACACGTCTCTGGTTACCAGCAGTAAGTAGGAAGCAGGTTGTTAATAGATTGGCGTTTCGATTTTCCAGAGATAACAATTCCTTCGGAATATTAGTGTTGATAATAAATTGGGCACTTCATCCACTGGGATAGCGATGCGTACAATTTGCTGCAGTGCCTCGCACTCACAATATACAGTCAATTCATTTACGGTATATTCTATGAAGCACTGTGTGGCGTCTCGAAGTTGTGATACGGCGTTATAACAAATGCAACTGTTATTGCTGTTATTGTTATTAACTATAGTCATGTTATTATCCAAGTAATAAGTAAAAAATGTCTTGCCTCTGGGGAACGCTGTCACTTGCACGTTTCTTTGTATGCTGCTTTATTCAGTAAGAAAACATCGAAATAAACAAGTTCCATTTATGTAGTTTCCCAAAAAACTATTTCCTCTATTTATAGAGAAACTGTTTATTCTGGTTGGTTGGTGAATGTAGAAGAAAAGTGCATTATCCAGTCCAGTTAGCAGAGAAAATGAGAAAAAAAATTATGAAAAATTTAAGGAAATCTGGAAAATTTCCACAAAGAGGCTGGGGATGTTAGTTCCGTTCCTATTATCCAGACGAAGTTGGATACATTTATTTTAGGTCAGATGTTTCAATCGTTTGGGGGAAATGGCGGGAATATGAGCTGAGGGATAGATCAGCCATGACATAAAGGCTCAAGGAGCAGAATGGCCTCTTGGTATTCCAATTTAGCGCTTTCCACTTAGTGGAGCGTTTTGGCGATGAACTACGAAGGCAAGGAATTGAAATAAAATGGGTGCTCAAGTGAGGCAGCAAATGTTTGCACAGAGAAAGGTCAAATTAAGGAATGTGACTGACGTTGTACACGAAGGTTCCAGGGAACAACAGAAAATAGGAGTAACGAGCAGGGAAATGTGACTAATATATCAATTTACAGTGGAGAACATAGCACCAAGGAAAGGCAAGACGGGCCCAAAATAGTTAGGTTGTGAAAACCCTCCAATTGTAAACGTGCTGTAGCTACAACCCACCAGAAGATGGCGCATTAAACAAACACATAGAACATGAGCTGCAACTCACATAACTTGTCGCGTTACTTTCTGTAACTAACTTCCTTTGCAGCAGTAACAGGTGCTTCCTGTTGCAGTTGACATATTTCACTCATTTCCACTATTGCTATTTCAACTGAAATTTACAAATATTTGCCTAAAGTATTCATACAATGCTTAGGTTGCTCAAGAAACAAGTTCTATGCTGCACGTTGAATGTTATTGCCTTCATCCCAAATAGCAGCCGCTAATAAATAGTTTTATCTACGTTATAACAATTCCCTCTTGAAAGTTGTAACCGTAACTGCTTCAGTTGCCCTTTCAGGCAACGCGTTCAAGATCGGAATAACTTGCTGTGTGAAAAAAAATTACGTCTCCCCTCCTCACTGTTTGGTTAGGCAACTACATTAAACGTGAACATTAAGCAACTTAATAGTATATAACTGTATAACAACAACAGTGATATTTCATCCCGCAACTGACACATTGAAATGCGACTGAAAAGATCACTGTCTAATATGTATTGGATTATTTTTTTCTGTTCTGGGCTGACACTCTAGAGCAGGCCTGGCTGCTTTTATTGTCGGTGAAGCTCGTCCTGCCGAGTTGATGTTAATCCCAGGTCCAGGCGGCTTGTACGAAGGGACTATAAAACTGCCATTGCACTGCTCGAGATATAACCAGGTTTCTACCGCAGGAGTTTTGTGGCGTATTGACCAAATGACAAGGCTCTATTTGATAAAACCATTTCTCTAACACGGTTAATGAACACAATTGTAAGAGCATGTCTTATTCAGAACAGTAATACTAACGATAATAATAACAAAGATTGCATTTGATATACTGCCATATTATGTCATTGAGATGTCTGGAAGCTCTTCACAGAATACGCTGGAAAGTTGAGTGACGATACTGTTTGATGCCAATTGTGTACAGCAATGTCCCGCAAATTGCTGTGGTTTGAGTTGCCTTACTTTGCGGCACTGTGGGTGTGGGAGATTGTGGGGTGTGGGGTGGAGGGGGGGAGGGGTTGAATGGGTCGTTAGATTGTATTGTGTGGGCGAAATTTGGTAGCCAACTGTGTAAAAGAGTGCCCAACATTATTGTGGATTGAATGACCTGATTGTGTGGCACTTTGTGTGTTTGTGTGGGGGGAGTGGAAGGGGCGGGGCTCAGTGTGGGCGGGGCTCTGTAAAGTAACGGCAGTGATTGGGCGCTGTGGCGTAGTGTGGGCGGGGCAGTGACTGAATGACGTAGCTCTGTGGGCGTGGCAGTGACTGTGTGGGCGGGGCAGTGACTGAATGGTAGCTCTGTGGGCGTGGCAGTGGCTGTGTGGGCGGGGCTCTGTGTGGATGGGGCTGTAACAGTGTGGCTACGGAGCCCAAAAGCCCCATCAGTCCACATTGGGGAGTTAATGTCAGACACGGGATCAGGATGCTCATGTGGGAGACATGTGCTGTGCTCTCAATCACTCTCAGCTTACTTTACCGTTCGTATCTTTTGTATACCTTCTTTTTCTAATATCTTGTTATAACTTTTACCGCATTATAATATTAATAATCATTGAATTTGATATAGTGCCTAATCCTTTATTCGAGCCGATTGTGCACAGCAGTTTTCTTCAAATAATCATGGATTGAATGACCAAATTATTATCTGTTTCATTATTGATCCATTATTGAAGGGCTAATTACCCCTGGAAAAGAGAAGCGCCAATCGACTTGTAAACGTGTTCCTATTTACTGCTTCTGAAACAAAGGCGTATGGAGTAGGGAAAATTTCCTCAGCTTTCCCCTGTCCTGATATCAAAGCCACATAACTCTTGCTTCTGAGGCGAATGCTCTCACCAATTCACTACAGTCTTCATATTAGACAAACTTGCTGCTCAACAATATTTTCTTTTAAATCACAGGAAACAGCCTGCAAGACATTGGGAATCAACCGATTGCTGAAATATCAGTTGAAGAGAGTAAAGATGTGAAATTATCCTGCACCTTAAAGAAAATAAGTGACGCGTACGGTCTGTTTTGGTACCGACAAGCCTCCAGGAACGCTCCTGTCTACATTCTTCAGTCTGTTGCAGGGAAGGATAATAAGAGCCCAGACTTCCAACATCGATTTTCCTCCAAAGTCGATAAAACGAACGAAGATTTCAAACTGAGTATTGCCAACGTCCTGATCGGGGACAGTGCCGTGTATTACTGCGCCAAGAGGCCCACACTGCTGCCGAGCTGTGGCGGCACCGTACAAAAACTGCAAGCGGTTCATTTGCTGCTGAAACGCGAGGGGGAACCATTGCATCAAGTAAAATTAAAACAGCATTTATGTCTGTTTACTCACAGAGTCCTGTGTTATATTGTTTTGACTTTAGCTAATTCAGCTCTTAAGCGTGAAGTCTTGGGTTTGATTCCCGGGTGGGACGAAACATAGGGTAAATTTCTTTGCTCCACACACATACCTCTGCCTTCCTATCAGTTGCAGGCACACGGTTGGCATTCCAACAGCGTGTCGCTTTTCCAGGAGTAACAATTCCTTAAAAATTATAACAACAGTTTGGTAGCTCAATCGTTTACTCTTTGTGTGCAATAGACGACCACGTTTCAACTGTCACAATCACAATGTCGTTGCTATACATAATATAATACAACATAATTGTTATTTTGCCTCTGTCTATCTCGTAGAAGCAGCAACACGGTTGATAGTCTCTTGGCTCATCGCTTTTCCAGAATTAATAATCCCTTNAAAAAATAACAACAAGTTGTTCCCTGTACATATGAATACTCGTGTGCAGTAGACGACCCGTTTCGCCTCCAGTAATCTCTGTACATCATAACGCTGCACATCATATTCTGCGAAACGCTTTCTGTCGTCCCAATGGCACTTTTGGGCGCTTTACCAAATGCAATCATAAATATAATCATCACTATAATAATAATAATAATAATAATCCTTGCATTTGTATAGCGCTTTTCACGTCGGGAGGACGTCCCAAAGCGCTTCACAGAACACACTGGAAAGTGAATTGACTGTATGTTTGTGGGCGAACGCGGCAGCCAATTGCGCACAGCAATGTCTCACAAACAGAGGTAGATTGGAAATGACCAATTTATTATTGTTCTTGGATTTGGAGGAATTATTGTTAGGCTCTGTCTAATAATTATTATTATGATCAAGATCTGGGCTCATTCCTCAGGACATCTGGACGTATAGCTCAGTGGTTAGAGCACTCGCCTCGGAAGAAAGAGACATTGGTTCGATTCTTATTGGGGCAAATTTTTTGGCACTTATCCTTACTCCACACGGCTTGGAGTAAATAGTAACCCGGTTGCTACTCAGATGGCTGATAGATTTCAGTGGTAACATTTCCTTAAAAAATGCTAAATAAGTCATTCAAGCCACAAATATTTGTGGGCGACGTATGCGCGTAATGATCTGCCGCACTGTCCCACAACTTATGCAGTCAATTAACTTTACAGTATACTCCATGAAGCGCTTTGGGACGTCTAAATGACGTGATAAGGCGTTATATGGGTTATTGTTATTTTTACCTTTATCTGCTTCAGTCTTTGTAACTCGCTTCCTCTACACTGTCTCTTTCACACATTACTGTGGTTTGCCACTGCGAAGCGGAGGGAATCTGAACTTAAAAGATAGGAGGAGTCGCAATACATCTCCAGCAATGAACAGAGACAGAGTAATGACGCGGGGATAAGAGTCAACGTCTCAAGTGAACCAACGTTTATCCACCAGACGCTGACTTTAGATGATTTCTGGTTGCAATTCATCGATATATATTGAAGTGGATCGAAGAGAGTTGAGAATGAAGCAGATTTTCAGCGCAACGTATATTATTTTGAATTTAACAATAAAGCTTTTGTGTAAGTAGTGCATGAATTTGGATAAACAAATTCTTTTTTACCTGCAAAATAATTACAGTTTATCGCGCCAGACACTATCCTAATTCCTTTGCGAGTATGTTCATTTATGTTATCTTTCCAGGTGTATTGGCTGACAGTGATGTTTCACAGTCACCTCAGGCCGTGACAGGGAATGAAAATGGAAACGTATCTATGGAGTGCAACACCACAGGGTACAGCCCAACCTTTCATTGGTACACACAGTATGGAAACGGTTCCATCCGGTTCTTGGTTTTGGGGACAAAAGACATCAATATGAAGGACAGGATACGCGCTTTGGCTAATACAAGACAGAGAAACTGCACTCTAACAATCCAAAACCTTCGGGTGACAGACACCGCCACTTACTTTTGTGCGGAAGGCACAGTGCTGTGTGTCCAAGAGGTACCTGTACAAAAACATGTTGGTTTTACTGCAACTCAATGGTTAGAGCACTCGCTTCGCAAGCGAAATAATTGGGTTCAATATCGGGCAGTGCAAAATGTTGGCCAAGTTTCGTTACTCTACATGCGTCTGTATATCCAGCAGTAAGTCGGAATATGGTTGTTAGTTGATTGACGGATCGTTTTTCCGATGGTGATAATTCCTATAAATAGAGAAAAAAATTCAATCCACAACTGTTTGTAGGACACTGCTGCGCGCAAACGACTGCGACATTACGGCCATAACATAAACAGTCAATTTACTTCACGGTACAACCTACCAAATGCTATGTGTCATCGAATAAGTGATAAAGCGCTGTATAAAATGCAAAGATCCTTATTATTTTTAATGGTTTACTGAGGCGGAACTAGGAACCCGATTCACAGCAGTTTGGATTATCTCTTTTTTCGGGTGTAATAATCCATCAACAAAATGGATCACTCGATCAAAGACTGTATGAGAGACGCTGCACTATGCACTTGGCTGCCGGGTGTTGCCCACAAAGTACACTGTCGATGCACTTTACACGGTACCCTCTGAGGATCGTACAGTCGACTCGGACAAGTGATAAATCGTTATGTTAATTACCAGCGCTTTTATTACAACCCAAAGGTGGGTTTAGATAATCATATGCATGGAAATGGTTTCCATATATGTCAGACACCAGTTTAAGAAAACTATATGATTATGTATGAAGGATCATTCCGCGAAATAAATCGTACAACACAGTAACTGGCAGAAAGTTTCCAGCCGTCTGCACACACTCAGGGGCTTCCACTTAATACAACATCCGACCTCGTTTTAAACATCTATATCACAATAATTCTTGACATTTGATACAGCGCTTCGTCTCGTCTCCGCGATGCCTCACAGCACTGCAGCGAATGCAGTATAATGTGTCGTGACTGTGAATTTTATGGGCGAAACTCGGGAACCAATTTCACACAACAGTCGTGGTTTCAGCGATAAAGTTTTGAGAGGTTGTTAACAGGCAGGACTTGTTTTTCAAATGTGCTCAACACATCGAGCACTGTTTGTGAGACGACTTGCGTGCACATGGGCTGCCGCGTTTATTCCACAAAACAAACAGTCACTACAGTTTAATGCACAAACTGAGAAGCGCTATGAGAGGTCGCAGTAATGTGATCAGGAACTATATCAAATGCACTGATCATTGTCACTTCAGAAGAAGAGATGTGAAAATCTGCTGTTTGCGAAAGTTGGGTGTTGGGGGCTCGGGGGGAGGGATTGTCCTGCCATCGGATAGTTGGCATAACAAGCGTGGACATGAGTAATAAAAGACAATTAATAAGTACATGATCAGAGTGTCGCCCAACAGAGATTTACCTGCCCCGAGTCTTGTTTCGTGGCCAGTCTGCGCCTCGTGACATGAAAAGTTAACTGATCAGGATGAGTCCTTCAAGAGAACACAAAAGTGGAACTCATGTACAGGCATTGGAGGAGTTTAAGGAGGGAGTAACTTGCTCCATGTGTCAGACACCCGGTTCTACAGAGACATGTCCGTGATGGAAGAGAACCAATGGAGGAGAGAGATGGCAGCGCAGAGAAGATGACGAGCAACGAGAGGGACACAAGTTTAGTACATAACCCTCAGATCTGCTCCTTCACGGCATATGGCAACTTCTGTGTATGATTTCTTATTCAGCTCATCACTGTATCGTACTTCCTCTCAGCCAACATTCTCCAACTACACCATCAACGCACTGTCAACGCCCGTTGCCATTAAATACATATGACAATGTATATCTATGTGGTCGCCATCGTTATCTTGTCAGGTAAGCCATCAACTCGCTCAAGAAGTCTCTATGCCGCAGATATTGTCCAATGCCTATTTTCTTGCATTAGATAAGCAAAACGCTGCAGGAATTTTGGCGTTGTAGAGTCCTGTAGCTCAGTTGATATAGCACTCGCATCGCAAGAGAGAGGACTTGGGTTTGATGCCTGGGCAGGGAGAAACCTCAGGTGAATTTCGTTACTACGAACACACGACTCTGTTTCAATAGCTGTAGGAATCCGTTGTAAGTGAATTTGCGAATGGATTTTCATGGTAGGATAATCCCTACGATTTTGTTCACGATTCGTTCAATCAAACCACGACTGTTCGTGTGCTATTGCATAATTGGGTGCTGCATTGGCCCAAGAAATACAGTTAAAGTGTTTTCTGTGAAGTACTTTGAGATGTTACGAAAACATGATCAGTCGCTGTATCAATAATATTATTATTAATGTTGTTACTGTGTTGAACGCTGATTTTTGTCTTGTTCCCAGGACATTGTGGAGGAGTCTCTGTGACACAGCTCCAATCTACTGTGACAGTGAATGAAGGGGAGACTGTTTATCTGCAGTGTAATTATACAGCTACAAACAACGATAATCCATATCTGTTCTGGTACAGACACTACCCCAACAAAGCTCCAGAATATATCCTTAATACGTACATCAGGAATAACAAGCAGCAACGTGCAGACTTTGCAAAAGAACGTTTCTCAACGAATGTGTCTCAAGCGGAGACAACCGTTCACATGAATATATTGCAAGTGAGAGTTACAGACTCCGCGGTGTATTACTGTGCACTGAGCCCCACAGAGGCACAGATCAGCGGTTCCTCCGTACAAAAACTGTCAGGTGGAGTCCTGTAGCTCAGTAGAGAGAGGATTCGCCTCGCTTTGTGCACGTTTCCTTATTCCACGAACAACTCTGTTCAACGAGCAGTAAAAGAAGGAACCCGGTTGTTATTCGATTGGCGAATCGATTTCCCAGCGTTAATAATTCCTTCAAAACAATAATATTATTACTGAAGTGTGCACTCAATCCAGTGTGACACTGATGTGAGCAATTGACTGCCGCGTTTCTCCCATACAATATGCAGTCAACTCGTGTACAGTCTATTCTCTGAAGGGATTTGAAGTGTCTCGAATACGAGATATGGCGCTTTACCAAGTGAATCAATGCAATGAATTTTATTATTATTATTAAATATAATAATGCTACATTCACATAAATGACTTCAAGCGTCTTGCTTCCTTGGGAGTCTCGCAACGTGTGCATGTCCATCTGTGCTGTTTAAAGTAGACTTGCAGCCAAAACAACAACTTTCTTTTATACAGCAACATTCGCAACCGGAAAAGATAAGATTAACTATTTGAACTATTTGCTGTTAAATGCCTCCAACGGTACACGTGCTTTAGCTGCAATCCAGCAGCAGATGTCGCACCAAAACATATATAACATGAGCTGCAACTCAGATAACTTGTCAGGTTCCTTTCTGTAACTAATTGACTTGTCAGCAATAACAGGTGCTTCCTGTTACAGGTGACACACTTCCAACTTATACACTGTTACTGGATCAGCTGCAATTTACAAAGATTTGCCTACGGCGTGGCCTTAGGTTACTCAAGAAGCAATTTAAATTGCTGAGTCTATGTTTAATTGTCATTCTCCCAAGTAAGCAGCCGCACTTAATAGTTCTCATTTCGGGAACAAATGTGCTTCATTTTGTTAGCAGCATTATGTTCGCTTGTTTCGGTTTCAATGCAGAAGAAGATTAAATCTGACTTTGTTTAATATGGTTTAGGTATCTGAGTTTGCAGATTCCTTATTTTGTTGCAATGATAAGAAGATTTGGCCGTCGATAACAATATTAACAATAACAATATTACTTGCCTTTAATACAGCTCTTTTCACGTTGGAGGCGGTTCCAAGACTTTAAATGGCATTTCTGTAAGAAGCAGTGACTGCACGTTGTGAGCCAAAATATGAAGCAATATTCAAACATTAATTTCCCCACGAATATTCATAACGTCAATGATCGGTTTTATCTGAGTTTTGAGGACAACGCATTCCACCCACAGTCCTGTATTTGACTTTCAGTCGAGACTGTGGGCTCAAAGTGCCGACTTGTCTCCTGAACCAACAACATTCTGACTCAGAATAGAAACTATCATCAACAGGGAAAGGCTTTCACCTCAGCTTTGATGGTAGAAATTAAAGCTTCAATTACTTAGGTTGGGCTGCATTGTTCAACAGCAACCAAACTAAAGCAATCACAGCAATGATAATAGACTTTGCACTTTATACAGCGACTCATTACTATTCCAGACGTCTCAAATAGCATCACAGAATATAACGTAAAGTACATTCTTTGTGGGTGAAAGACAAGTCGTTGCTCCCATCCAATCCCAGGCCCATTGGCTACCAATCGCCAGAAGATCAAATTTAAGAACTTCTGGTGAGTGGGAAACGCCTACAATTGGAGGTAATAAACCAATGAACACATCAGATCAGCCGCTACCTCACAACTTGTCACTGAAGCAGCAACACAGCGATATACAAAGGAAGAGATCCGATTGTCTGTCCACAACTCAGCGGCCAACATGACAGCTCACTGCCAGTTACTGATAGCAATCCTCACCATAGCCGGTAAGTATGAGTGGACATATCCAGAGCATGGCCTTTACATTATATTATATCAGAAGCTTAGTGTTGAGAGCACTCACCTCTCAAGCGACAGGACCTGTTTTCGATTCTCGGGCAAATTGAAACTTCCAGCAAATTTGCTTAGACCTCAAGCCTGTGATTATCGGCGGTAAGTAGGAACCCGGTTGATAATTGTTTCAGGGATAGCTATCCGAAAGTAATAATATATTAAAGAATAAATCAATCAATAGTAATTTCGTCAATCATTCCATGACGGTTTGGGCGACAACGCAGCGCTTAATTGGCTGCAACTTTTCTCCCTCAAAATATAGAGTCAGTTCTCATAATAATGTATTCTGTGTGCGCTTTGAGACGTCCAAACCGTGCGATAACGTGATATAGAAGTGAAATTATTATTATAATTATTATGATTGCAAATCTCCATGAACGTTGCTCAGCAAAATGTTTTTTTTTTGTACTTTCAGAAGTCTACGGGCAAGATGCAGTCACCCAATATCCTCCCGAGATAACAGATTTTGAAGGACAAAACGTGACACTGAACTGCAGTTATTCCTCATTGCAGACTGCCTTCTGGTACAGGCAATATCCCGATGGAGCTCTTCAGTACTTGTTCAGGATATATGCCTCTGGAAATGAAGACAACCCTCCTGACCGTTTCACCGCCGAGCTGATCAAGGAGAATAAAGTAATTAACCTGCAGATACTCGGGGCTGTTGTGGGTGACAGCGCTGTGTACTACTGTGCCCTGGACCCCACACTGTTACAGGAAGGCAGAATCACTGTACAAAAACTCAGCAGAGAATCATGGCCTCTTCTCACACATTTAAGTTCGTGGTTTGAACAGACTGATGTGTTTCCACAATTATAACAGGGAGTGTGGTGTACAGAGTCTGTGGAGTCCTGTATTGGTGTGGTTATACCACTCGCATCACAAGAGAGTGGACCTGGGTTGGATTCCCCTTCAGGTCAGGGCGGAAGCTTAGGCAAGTTTCCTTACTCCATCCACTCGCCTCTGTTTACCGAGCAGTAAGTAGGAATCCAGCTGTTCCTCATTTTGGGAATATTTTTTTTTCTAGGGAATGTTCCCTTCATAAAGGAATAGATAGAGTTTAATCAATATACCACTATTTGCGGTTCACTGCTGTGTAGAATTCGCTGCCGCGTCTCGCAAGCAACACATAGTGTAAATTGCCTATGAGGCAACATGCTTTGAGGCTTCTCGAAGACGTGATAAGGCGCTTGAAATTAACCCAGTTTTAGCTTGCTGATCTCCAGGGGTTACCATAAAGCAGAATCAGAGGTTCCTAAATTTTGCTCTTGCGAAACTTCATCTAATGTATACACTTTGCTGTAGATACCGTGAAGCGCTTTCAGATGTCCTGAAGATGTGATGAGGGCTATAGCTCATACTCTCAGCAACTCAGCAACCAGAATTGGTTATTTCAGAGAGAAAGAGCGAGAGTGTGTGTGTGNTTTTTTGCATGAGAGAGATAGATAGTTAGATAGAGAGAGAGAGACAAGGTGAGAGCGAGAGAGAGAGAGAGAGACAGAGAGAGAGAGACAGAAAGAGAGACAGAGAAAGAGAGACGGAGGGAAAGAGAGAGAGACGGAGAATGTATTCGTTTGCAATACATGGAAAAATCCAGTTGTAGTTTGGACGCAAGGAAATGAATAATAAAAAAACATAAAAAATCGATTTTTTAAAAAATATTGTCGCTCTAACGGCCACAGTTTTGTGTGACATTGATGTATGCAATTCGTTGCTACGTTTCCCCCATATAATACGCTGTCACTGCACTTGACACAATAACCTGTGTAGCGCTTTTAGGCGTCTCGTAGACGTGATCAGTCGCGATATCAAAAGCATGGCAAGTTAATATATCTCTCAGATTGATTTGGATAATCATAAATATGGTGAAGGGGTTTCCACGTATGTTAGAAACCAGCTTAACAAAAATCAATATCAATATATGAAGCGTAATTCAGAGAAATAAAAAGCCCAGTAAAATAACTTGAAGCAATGAATTAAGCCATAAATGATTGTGTTTAGCGCCCAAACTTCTGAAACTCAGATGCATAGAGCGGAAATGGGCCGGAAGGAAACTTTCCACCAATTGGGGCAGAGACATCTGAGAAACTGCTGATATTACGTGATTCCTCCCCTTTCGCTTTGAACCGTCGCAATGTCTCGTTTCAACTTATTATCAACTTGACACCTGCCCCCGGGGATTTGATGCCAACACATAGTGTAGCCGCCCGCACACACTCAGGGTCTTCCACTGAATACCTCGTCCTGCCTTCTTGTGACTATCATAACAATACTTGACGTTTTATACAGCGCTTTAAATCATCTCTGAGGCATGTGGATGCGCTTCACATGATAAACTGTAAAGTGTAGTGACTGCGTATTGTATGGTCTAAACTATAGAAACAATTGGACAAAACAGAGATAATCAAACAGACTCGAGTCGAGTCCCAATTTTTTTTTAGGGATAATTACCCTTTGAAAGCGATTCGTCATTTGACTATCGGATTCCTACTTCGTGTTCTGTAAACAGAGGCGTGTGGAGTGAGGAAAGTTGATTGAGGTTTCAAAGGAAACTTGCATTTGTTCATCAAAGCGCTGAAAGATTCGTTATGAAGTGCGATTACACTTTAGTGTTCCTGCTCCTGAAAGCTGCCGTGACCCTCTGGGGTGAGTGTGCTTTACAGAAATTGTTTGTAATTCTACTTAAATTAATGGGTGAATTTCACAAACCAATTGTTTTGTGTTTACCAGGTGTCAGTGGTCAGGATACAGTCTCCCAGTCGCCACTCCCTGTGACTGTTGCGGAGAAGGAACAAGTAATTATCAGCTGTTCCACAACAGAAAACCGGGTATTACAATGGTACAGACAGTATCCGAACCAGACCCTCAAACACTTGGTAACAGGACAGACAGGAGAGCAGCAGACGAAGAGGATCACAGCTACAATGAACTATAGAGAGAAGGGCAGTAATCTGAGCATCACACGCACAGAAGTGACAGACGCCGCCACCTACGTGTGTGCAGCGGAGACACAGTGACACAATCACATAGAGAGGCCGTACACAAACCTCCAGTGATTAGTTTCATTACTCCACATGCACTCCACTCTTCAGTGAGTAGGAACCCGGTTCTTTGTAATTTGGCGGTAAGCTTTACCAGGGTAATACTGCCTTAAAAAGTTATAATTTTAAAACATGACAGAAATCTATGGGATAGTTTTTGGGTCAATTGAATATGAAAATATATTTAGAAATATTACATTCCGTTGGGGCCTTTCACAAGGGAAGACTTTGCCAAGGGAGTTTGCGGAACGATGCTGTGGGAAATTTGCAGCTACACTGCTCCAAAATAATGTATAATCAATTCATATTGCATGATATCGTGTGAGGCCATTTGAGTCGTCTCGATGATGTGATCAGGTCATATATAAAACGCAATCATAATCATAATGGTTACTGCTATTATATGCTGTGAATAGCATCGACATATCTCGAATCAATCATTAGGCGCTCTATCGAAGGCATCAAATATTATTATAGATGCAGAGATGTTTATATTCCACAGCTTATGAAGAGAAAATTATGGTAATCCTGTAAGTAGACAGATGGCGTATCAATCCCGTTTATCAATGAAAAAAATGAAAGTACGTAATCAGAATTTAGCCTCACATAGATTTGCCACCCCTAGTCTTGTCACTTATAACAGTAATAAATACCTGTTGCATTTGATATAGCGCTTCTCACGTCTTCTAGACGTCTCAAAGTGCTTCACAGAATTTACTGTAAAGTGTATTGACCGCATATATGTGGGCGAAACGCGGCAGGCAATTGCGCACAGCATAGTCCCACAAGGAGTCTTGGAATGAAACTGACCTATTTATTATTGTTTTCGATGGATTACTGTTCGGCGTGTGGAAAAAGGAAACTTGCCCAAAACTCGTTACGGTCTTTGCCTGGAGAACTGCGAAGATAATCAGGATGTGTCCTTCGAAGAAGAAAGCAAGTTCCTTTCCACAGGCACATTGACATGCACAGATGGCACACAGATATGCAACTCACGCAATTGTTTTGGATGAACTGAAATAAGGGTGTAACTTGCTGCAGGTGTCAGGCACCTATTCGGCTGAACGAAGACATGTCAGTGATGGACGAGAACCAATGGAGGAGTCAGATGGCAGAGAAGAGAAGATGACGCGCAATGACACATACACAAGGTTTGTACATAACCTCAGACTTGCTCCCTCACAGTATATGGCAACTTCTACAGATTATTTCGTGTTCATCCCTCCTCATGGTATCTTAGTGACTCCCAGCCAACATTATCCAACTACACCATCAACGCTCTGTCAACGCCACCTGCCATTAAATACATACGGCAATGTTTATCTATGTGATAGCAGTGATCATTACCTTTTCAGGTAAGCGATAAACTCGCTCTGTCAGTGTGTTTCGTGACAGTATTAACCAATGCTTATGTTTTGTAGACTAAAATAAGCAAAATCAAGCATGCCTCGTAGAGTTTTCTAGCTCACCGAACAGCGAATTGGCCTCCCAAGTGAGAGGAACTTGGTTCGGTTCCCGGTTGAGACACAGTGAAACCTTAGAAAAGTTTCCTTACTCTACACATGTATGAACATGTTTATCCACACTAAGAACGTGCCATTTCCGTAGTCGATTGATGGAACGCATTTCGGGGCTAATAACCCCTCAAAAGAACTACTACTAATTATATAAGGCTCTGTATCAAACACAAGGATAACTATTCTCATTGTTGGTATTGATTTTATGTTTTCCAGGAATTTGTGGAGGAGACAGTGTAACACAGCTCCAATCTATTGTGACAGTGACTGAAGGGGAGGATGTTGCTCTGCAGTGTAATTATACAGTTGCAAACACCGGCTCTGACTACCTGTTCTGGTACCGTCACTTAACCAACAAAGCTCCAGAATATATACTCAGAACATCCACCAAAAACAGGAACAAGGACCACGCGGACTTTGCAAAAGAACGTTTCTCAACGAATGTGTCTAAAGCGGAGAGAACCGTCCCATTAAATATATTGCAAGTGAGAGTTACAGACTCCGCGGGGTATTACTGTGCACTGAGCCCCACAGTGGCACAGATCAGCGATTCCACCCTACAAAAACTGCCATGTGGAACCCTGTAGCTCAGTGGTTATAGCACTCGCCACACAAGGGAGAGACTTTGGTTCAATTCCCAGCAGAACGAAGCATTGTGCAACTTTCCTTATTCCACACACACGTCTCTGGTTACCAGCAGTAAGTAGGAAGCAGGTTGTTAATAGATTGGCGTTTCGATTTTCCAGAGATAACAATTCCTTCGGAATATTAGCGTTGATAATAAATTGGGCACTTCATCCACTTGGATAGCGATGTGTACAATTTGCTGCAGTGCTTCGCACTCACAATATACAGTCAATTCATTTACGGTATATCCTATGAAGCACTGTGTGGTGTCCCGAAGATGTGATACGGCGTTATATCAAATGCAACTGTTATTGCTATTATTGTTATTAACTGTAGTCATGTTATCATCCAAGTAGTATGTAAAAAATGTCTTGCCTCTGGGGAACGCTGTCACTTGCACGTTTCTTTCTATGCTGCTTTATTCAGTAAGAAAACATCAAAATAAACAAGTTCCATTTATGTAGTTTCCCCAAAAACTATTTCGTCTATTTATAGAGAAACTGTTTATGCTGGATGGAGGGGGAATGTAGAAAAAGAGTGCATTAGAGCCAGTCCAGTTAGCAGAGAAAATGAGTAAAAAAAATTATGAAAAATTTAAAGAAATCTGGAAAACTTCCACAAAGAGGTTGGGGATGTTGGTTCCATTCGTATTTTCCAGACGGAGTTGAATACGTTTATTTTAGCTCCGAATTTCAATCGTTTGGGGGAAATGGCGGGAATACGAGCTGAGGGATAGATCAGCCATGATATAATTTAACATTGGAAAAGGCTCAAGGAGCAGAATGGCCTCTTGGTATTCCAATTTAGCGCTTTCCACTTAGGGGAGCGTTTTGGCGATGAACTACGAAGGCAAGGAATTGAAATAAAATGGGTGCGCAAGTGAGGCAGCAAATGTTTGCACAGAGAAAGGTCAAATTAAGGAATGTGACTGACGTTGTACACGAATGTTCCAGGGACCAACAGAAAATAGGAGGAACGAGCAGTGAAATGTGATTAATATATCAAATTAGTGGAGAACATACTGGTACACCATCGAAGCGCTTTGTTGCCACGACAACACTTTAGAAACAGCAAATCGCCCGACCGGATAAG